AGGTGGAACGGGGGGGTTTCTTTGGAGTAACGCATTGATCAGGGCCTGGTTTTGCTCGGCCATGCGGTTAATGCTGTTGGTGAGCTCGATGATGTACTGTGGTGGGTTGGTTGGGTGGGAGGGATCTGTTTGGTGATCGGCGGCGTTGTGGTGAGAAGCCATGGACCTAGTCGTGACCATACACCTGGACGGGCAAGAGGGGAAGGTGATGGTGAGAAGGGAGGGCTCCGGCGGTAGTGAACACAACTAGCGCGCGAATAAACCAGTAAGTTCCCACAGACGGCGCCAACTGATAAGGTTCTGGTTCCCGGGTGGATGGGTTGGACCGGTCCAGGCTCTTCAGACTCCGGCTCAGGGTGATGACTCCGTCAGGTGACCTGCATGTAAGTCCAGAGGAGAACGGGGTAGTCCCCCAGTGAACCCTCCGGTGTGAGAATTAGTAGAGCAGAGTATGAGAAAAACTGTGTGGAGAGGGATTGAGAGAGAGAGATAGCTTAACCTTATTCTTGCCCTCCTATCCTTGCTTATATTCTTTAGTTATCATTTTTCCTGTCTCTTGTGACGTGCTTTCTTTTGCCGAAAGCCTGTGCCGTAGCTTACCTTGTTCAGGGCGATGGAGACTCTGTTCCGGCGCGGGGTGTTGTCGTAATAAATGCTGTGATGGGATGCATTAATGGTGATGTGTTGTGATAATAACTCTGCAGATCTTTGTCTGCTGACGTGGCCCGTGTCCCACCTGCCATGTGCCCAAATGCCATTGGCCCTTCATGTCTAGATGGCCTCCAGCTGTCCTGGGCTTTGCCAACCGGGTTATGCCATTGGTCCCAAGCGATGGGTTTGGGGCGGTTTACTGTGGGCCGTATGCCTTGTGGGCCTATCCATGTCAATATATATATGAGAGTATATGTATACGGCTGTGGTTTTAATTTGGAAATTTTTTTTGATTATAATATACAATATGGCTTGAATTTTGTTTTGAGTTTCGGACAATGGACAAGATTTTTCCGTAATGCGGCTTTTGTTTAAGTTCTATTTCGAGAAAAAGAAAAAAAGAAAAAAATCAATGGGTACTTGGAAAAAATTCTTTTTGAATTGATTCATTTGGCTAAAAGAAGAGGTGTTGGCCATGAAGTAGCAGCTGAAGAAACCAGAAAGGACAAGAGAAGGAAAGAAAGTGAAAAATCTGGTTTTGAAGTTGTAATGGCATATAAAATAAAATTTGAGAAAAAAATTAGGGTAATATAGACATTTTATAAATATGATTAACAGAGTTAGTATTTACATTTTACTCCAAATCTCAAGGGGATTAAATATATATTTCTAAACAGTGATGATACATAACTCTAATAATAGAGTTCTAAATGGAGCTCTAGTGAGGTGGAAAAGAGAGAGAGTAGAGAGAGATAGAGAGAAGATTGTGGACTCTACCTTCAAATGGACACTCTCAACATCATTATAGCTGGATTAGAGCTCTTAAATTAGAACTCTCAAATATTATTCATTTCTAAATTAGAAGGTAATGTGTTTTTAAGTCAAATTACATAGAGGTAAGTTGTAATTAACCCAACTTATAAATTGGTGGTCTGAATATCTTTCTCAGATTTATATAGGTCCTTCTTTGAAAATGGTCCTTCTCAGTAATTTCGAGATAATGGGAACGGCCAAATTCCATTGTAAGCAGGCAACATAATTTCAAATGAGTATTGTCTGTGGAAAAATGAAACGTGAAATTATTACATTGCACCCCCTGTTGCGAAGTCTTTTTCAAGGAGAGAGAAATTGTCCTCGTAAGTAATTTTAATGTTGTTGGATTTTTGTAGATCTATCACGGGATTTATATCGATAATTTGAATTATTTAATGTGTAAAATTTATTGAATGTTTTATTTTTGTAAAAAATTACGTTGATTAAATATCAATATCAATATCCACTTGATCAGTTCAAGTTTGTGTCAATGGTAAGTATAATTTTAAAAACATGAAAATACAGGTATAGAAAGATGTAATGTATGGAGAGAGATTTAGATAATACAAAATATTCCTACTACTATTACTTGCAAAGACAACCAACTCCTCAACTTCATGATTTAGCGGGAAAAAAAAAACCCTTGAACCCCAAAGTCAAACCACACAGCCATACACTAGCAGACACTGTAGCACTCATAAACACATTCCTCAACTCCCAAGGCACAGCCCCACTTTGCCAAGCCTTGTTCTCCCATAGTTCTAAATCGCGGTATCGGATAACGTAACGGTATCGATCGCGGAGTATCAATATTGGTAGTATCGACTGGTATGTATCGGGTATTGGGCATCGCGGCTGTGAAATTTCAAAAATCATTAGCAATCCCTCTAAAACTCAATTTTATGCTTTTTTTTTACTCTTTTAGCCTTAATTTATCACATTTTAATCAAAATTTTGATATGTAGAGGCACTTTTGGCTCATTTTCAACTAAATGATATGTATTTATTTTAGTCTCAAGCTTTTATTTGGCATATATGTTAAACTTTTAATATAAAATTGATGTGAAAATATTTTTTTACTTATTTTCAACAATGAAATACTTCCGCATGCACAACAAATTAATAAGAGAAAGAGGGACATGAAAATAAATCATTCGCTTCAGTCATAATCGCATACAAACAATCTACTACAAATCAACAACTCTAAAACTTAGTAATAAAAAGAATTACGTGGTGGTACAGAAGAATCTCCATATCTCACATCACTTTGATTATCATTATGAATTGGTTGGCCTATTTCTCTATATTGATATTCCTGGAAGTAGTTATTGAAAGTGCATTGATCATAAGTAGTGTTGTTGCTGCCACTGCTTCTTGATTGTTGTTGTGTCGTTGCAAGCCCCCCTGTACCATAATTGAAACCCTCTATATATGGATATTGATGAGGTTGTTGAGAGTAGTTCCAATTTCCCATATAAGGTGGTTGGTAGATGTGTTGTGGTGGTTGACTTGGAGGAGGGTAATAAGGATACGGTACTTGGCATATTGGTCGCCAATGTTGAGTTCCCCTTCCATCTTCTTGTCTAACTCCGAGATGTCCAAATTGATTTCTAAGGTCACGATGACCATAAATATCATCAATATGTCGTGAACGCCCAATTGATGCTTCTACATCAGGAGTAGAAATAGAATGTCGTCGTTGCTGTGTAGAATCCCTGTTCCAATCATGATCAGTATGATGAGTACTGCGTCTACAACCATGTGCAGAACCTGCAGACTCCCATTGTCCACCACTACCACCACCTGTTGGAGGACGACTACCATCATACTGCCATCATTATCATCTTTACTACCATTAGGTGGACTCAAACCGCGACCCTCACTAGAGCCACTTCCAGTAGACCCTGCTCTTTGACGGTGTTGAGGTACTTGGCTACTAGTTGCATGATCTCCCTCATCATCATCATCATCATCAACAGACCCTGCTCTTTGATGGTGTTGAGGTGCTTGGCTACTAGTGGCATCATCATCATCATCATCATCATCAACAATCAACCAACCTGAGTTATCTTCATCATCTAAGACTGCATGTTCTCTCTCTTGAAGCCATGGAGTTAATAGATCATCTTCTTCAAATATATAGTCAAGATTGATGGTGTTAAAAGATTTCTCTCTGTCATCATGGCTTTTTCGTGTTGCATGTCTGATCTTTAGCCTCATATTGTAATACACATAAACAAGTTTATTTAATTTTTTATACTTCAACCGATTCCTTGTCTTTGTATGTATCATGCTAAATGTACTCTAATTGCGCTCACAATTAGAAGAAGACATGGTTTGGCTCAATACTCTCACAACCACTTTTTGGGGTGCCGGAGCCGATGTACTATAATGGATCCACTATTCAGCTATATATAAATCAATCAAATATTAGTGATTATGTTATAATTTGATATAGAAGTGTTGACAATGTAACAATAATATGTAATTAAAATAGTTAATAGTTCATTGAGTATATAATAATTACCAGGATTTGTTACTTTCACTACTCTTTGTGCTAACACAGCACCAAAAGAATCTTCTTTATTACAAAATAAAGAGATCTGCAATGAACAAAAGGCAATAAGCAGTTTTACAAACACAATTCACAAGTCAAATAATAAGTTATCAATTTAACTAATATTAAATAATGACTAACTTGGTTTATCGCCTATATGTGCTCGTTTAAATCTGGTAGAAGTCTCAAAATCACATTTCTAACTCCACTCATCACTTCTCGATGATTAGAAAGGTGCTCCCCATATTGGAATACGGGATTTAAAAAATAACCTACATTCAAATATAAAATAATAATAAAATTGAGACAAGGAACACATAATTTATAATTTAAATAAATTAAAAATTACTTACCAACAGCATGCAAGTCCGTGTGTAGTTGGAAAGCTCATTGATTATCAATAATCTTCTAATAATCTACATAATAGCGACAATTTTGTTTGATGGCCAACTTTGCTCTATCCATGGCTTCATATATAAAACCCATTGTGGGCTTTTCATCCCCATCTACAAGTCTAAGCACCTTTGGAAGTGGTTCTTGAACTTTTAATACATCTGCCACCTTGGTCCAAAAATCTTTACTTTGTATAATTTTTTTCGCTTCTTTTGTATAATCCTTTTTGGACCATTTGCTCTGCTTCCACTCTTGAAAATGAAACATATCCTGTAAAGCAGTCTTATGTTTAACAATGCTTTCCAAAGTAATGAAATTGGTGGCAAAGCGTGTGATGACAGGACGTAACAACTCTCTATCTCCTGTGAGTCTCTTCATGAAATCAACGACCCAATTGGAGTTGTAAATAAAGCGTGTGATTATTTTTGCACAATCCAACACCTTTGCTACACTTTTTTTTCTTCCCAATATCCTCTAACATAAGATCAATACAATGAGCTGCACATCCTGTCCAATACAGATTCTCCCTTTTTTGCATGAGTTTGTAACCAGCAGCCTTTATCGCAGCTTCGTTATCAGTTACGATTTACACAACATATTCTTCTCCAATTTCATCCACTACCTTGTCCATGAGGCCCAAGTAATAATTAGCTGTCCTACTAGATACATTAGTTACATCCATAGGCTTCTGAAAAATTGTTCCACCATTGCTACACATAAGAAAATTAACAATGTGCTTTCTTGTGGGCCCAGACCATCCATCACACATAATTGTAACACCTCTCTCAGCCCAACTAGGTTTATGAGATTTTATCCAATTTAGTAAAGCTTCATACTCCATTGGTAAATACACTTCAGTTACCTGTTTAATAATAAATAACAAACAAAAACTATTAACAAGTATCTTAATAATTTATTTATTTTTAAACATAGATAGAGTTTTTTCAAACTTTAAGTTAGAGGCTTACTTCATAAGAAGTAGGTAGCTTTGTTCCTTTTCCAACCTCTCTTGCAGTATCCAACATTGGTTTTAGCCATTTAGAATTAACAATATTAGTAGGCACTGGAGTGAACAATACAAACTGGCTAACTGCTCTTCCTAATTTTTTTTTTGCTTCTTTCAAGAATCTAGAGGAGAGTTTGGATTGTTTGTTGCCTTTGGTCCTATGAAGATCCACATCTATGTCTAATAATTGAACTTCTGGAGAGGATGTATCAATCCATTTCCTACCTGTACTAGCCTCACGAACACTATGACTTCACCGAGCAAAACCAAGAGAAGGTGCAACCTCAATATCACTAGCCCTATTTTGTCGGGCCATAACCATTTCTAAATCCTCATCATCATTTTCATCATCATCACACTGACTGGCTCTAATTTGTTCTGTCAATTCCTTATTCATCTTCCTTTTGTCAAGCTTTTTGCCCTTATAATTATTCAAATGATTCGTCATTAGTGTTCGAACTGCACCACTGACATTAGCACAAGGTGCGACTTGACCTTTCCTATGGGCCAAATGTTGCTTCAACCTAGTTATACCACCATTTAGCTCTTTTCCACAAAATTTACACATAATTTTATGCCTATTATTTTCTAGTGGAATTCCAAATTTCCAACCAATATCATCACTTGGAAGTTTTCCACTAGAACCACCTCCGTACGCCATTATAACTTTCAATTATTTACAATAACAGTTTTCAATTAATAAATATTGTAATTCTAATTTAGTTACTAATAATAATGCATTTAAAATAAAAATAAAAAATCTAAAATATTAAACTTCTTTACTTAACAATTAAACCTCTTTAAAAAAATCTGACAGATGAAACCTCTTTAAAAAAAATCTGATATAAAAATAATCTGAAATAAAAAGATTTGACAGATTAAAAAATCTAAAATAAAATCTGAAATAAAAATTTGACAGATTAAATCTCTTTAAATAAAAATAAAAAATCTAAAATATTAAACCTCTTTACTTAACAATTAAACCTCTTTAAAAAAATCTGACAGATGAAACCTCTTTAAAAAAAATCTGATATAAAAATAATCTGAAATAAAAAGATTTGACAGATTAAAAAATCTAAAATAAAATATGAAATAAAAAATTTGACAGATTAAACCTCTTTAAATAAAAATAAAAAATCTAAAATATTAAACCTCTTTACTTAACAATTAAACCTCTTTAAAAAAATCTGACAGATGAAACCTCTTTAAAAAAAATCTGATATAAAAATAATCTGAAATAAAAAGATTTGACAGATTAAAAAATCTAAAATAAAATATGAAATAAAAAATTTGACAGATTAAACCTCTTTAAATAAAAATAAAAAATCTAAAATATTAAACCTCTTTACTTAACAATTAAACCTCTTTAAAAAAATCTGACAGATGAAACCTCTTTAAAAAAAATCTGATATAAAAATAATCTGAAATAAAAAGATTTGATATATATAAATATTTGAAGAATTATAAATATATATTAAAATATATCTCATTCCCATCCCATACCATAATATAAATAAAAAAATAACCACAGAACAAACAGAAAAAAAAAAGAAAAAAAGAAAAAACAAAAACAAAAAACAAAAACAAATTATAAACAAACCGAACACAACTTAACAAGCAAAACCATGACTTCTTCAGCCAAAAGAAAAAACAGAGCATGACAAATACAAACAGAGCATGAGAGAACAAACCTTCAACGAAGAAGCTTGAAATCGGTGATGGGTTTGGGTTCGATTCAATGCTTCTCCCTGCAACACTTTACAAGATCGATGCCCCTGGGATGGGTTTGGTTGAGGAGTTGGGTTTGGTCCGATTGAAGGTTTTTCTTTAGAGGCTGTTACACATTTATGGTGTCCGTGAGTCTGTGTGTGTATTATTGCTTGAAGAAGACAAAAAATTTGAAGTGAAATGTTTGAGTCTGTGAGTCTGTTTCCTTCATTTTCTGCTTTTGCTTTTGTTTTTGCAGGTACTTTGGTCGATTATTTTTTCTTTTGCAGGTGCTTTGCTCAATTATTTTTTGCTTTTCCAGGTGCTTTGCTTTGCTCAATTATTTTTGTAGGTGCTTTGCTTATTTTTAGTCGTATCGGACTGTATTGGAACTATATCGTTCACGTATCGGATTCAGGCCGATACGTATTGGGAATCGGCCGCTACGGACGCGAAATTCATTCACACTGGTATACCGATGAGTATCAGACTCGGCACTCCCATTTTTCGATACGAACCGGCCGGTACGGCATGTACCGGCCGATATTTAAAACCTTGTGTTCTCCACTTTAACCTTTCATATTCTGTGTGTCAAAGGTTAAAAGACAAAAGAAAAGAAGATCAGAGACTTGGAAAAACTCTGTTTGATTTAGTTTTTGAAAAAAGATTCAAGTTTTGAGTTATATTTTAAAAGATAAATTATTAAAAATAGTTTTGAAAATTAAAAATTTGTTTGATTATGAGTTTTAAAAATAATTTTGAGATTATTTGTAGTTTTTTTTTTGTAATTAAAATAGATGAGTGTGAGAGAAAATTTAATTGATTGATGTGTAGAATGTGAGAGAAGGAGAGAGGAAAGAGAATAGAGAAAATTTGATTGATTAATTTATTAATAAATAAATAAATAAGAGAAGGAGAGAGGAGAGAGAAAAATAATTTAAAAAAAAAAGTTTTAAAAATTGATTAACCAAACATGTTTTTTGATTTTTTGATCTAAATATTAATTTGAAAACTAAATCAAACGTTAAAAAGTTCACACGTTTTTTTTTTCTTCATCTTCTTTCTTAACCATCTTTTTCTCATCTCTGTCGGACCCTCCTACTAGTTGCATTATTATTGCTTTTTCTTTTTACTTTTATTATTGATGAAAGTCTAGTTATTAGATTAGTATTTATGGGAATTAGCCTCCCATCTTTTTAAAGTATCAAGTATTTACCTCATAATTCAACTTCTCCTAGAGAGAGTTGAATAATATCTTGCCCAAAAAAAAAAAAAAAACCAAAATATTATATTGAGCCTCATTAGTGATCACTTGGTCATCATAAAAAAAGTGATCAATTAGTCACTAGACTTTATAATATATTCCATTCTAGTTGATAGTTTTAACTTAAAAACCATGCAGCTCTCTACTATCAGACGAATTTATCAAAACATAAATGGAGTTCGGTTATGATAAAAAAAATTTAATAACCATCCCATTATTTATACATAATTATTCTACTCTCTACAGGTTGTACAACTACATACTCTATGCAAACCCCATCTTATTGTGTATACCATATTTGAGTATTTGACCTCAGTACATGTCTTGTTTGGTGCAATTTATGAGAGCTTATAATGTTTTTTTTTTTTTTTTAAAAAAAATTCTATTTTAAGGGTTTGTACTAAATGTTCAGTGCAATTTTTGTTTACGTTTTTAGGCACTGGGGCTATAAGTCTAAAATATTATTCCAAATTTTATTCAACATGTTTGATTTGGATTTTCAACATTCACTTTTTAGAAAATTGAAATTTTTTATTTTCGTATCTTTTTTTGTTTTTATTATTTTTTAATATTCTAAGCAATTTTTTATTTTTTATTTTTTAGATACACTCAACATAAATACACTTAGAAAGTATAATATTTGTGAAAAAAAATCTTTAGAAAACTCACTAAATACAAAAAATACAAAAAAAAAAAACGAGAATTCGGTAAAGTTTTTTGTATTTTTGTGTATTTATTGATTTTTTAAAATATTTTTTTACAAATATTTTTACTTTTTAGATACATCTAAGTAAGGTACATCTAAAAAAGTAAAAAAAATTGCTTAAAATTTTAAAAATATTCGCTAAAAACAAAAAAATACGAAAATAAAAAAACTCAATTTCTAGAAAATTGAATCTAAAAAATTGAAACCAAACACTTTTTTTTTCCCCCTATAAGAAGAATAATAATTTGAAAAATTATATTACCCATATTTATTTGTCTATATGTTCATCTATCTATCTGTAGCGATCCCGGTTTCGACCCTTCTTTCATGTTTTGCCACTTCGACTAGGTAGGTCAGGGATCGAGCTGCCCGGTCAGCTCACGGGGGTTGAGGGGGCAGCGCCCCTTAGCGAGTCCGAGAGCAGCGCCCTGGTGGGGTCGAGGGGCAGCGCCTCTGAAGCAAAAATGCAAAATGCATTCAAAGTTGCTTGTCCGCTCGAGCGGCCGTTTATGCGCTTGAGCAGAGAATGTTTGGTTCCAGAAGTTAGACCTGTCTGCAAAAGTCCTGGGAAGGTGTATTCGACGCTCGAGCGGGGTTTTCCACGCTCGAGCAGACCATGTTATATCAGTTCGTGAATCTAATATTTCATATCACTTTTGTATATCTCTCTCTCTAAAAACATTTTCTCCCCATTCTCTCTACATTTCCCTACGCCAAATTGAATCAAAACCTTGATTTCTCAAGATCCGTTGGGAGTTTGACCGAAGTTCTTCATCAAAGTTGTGTAACTTCTTGAAGGCTTCGTTGTGTGCGGTGGAGATCGAGTTTCGACACCGTAAATTTTGGGGTTTCATCTCATTTCTTCTTTAAAACTTGAGGTAGGGATTTTCTTAGAGTTATAAATATGTATATATATATATATATTGTAAGATCTATATGATTTTCGAAATCATCTTTCGATAGCTTTGAAAATTGATTGTTGATTCAAGAAGTTGAGCGATTTTGAAAGTGGGTTTGTCTCTTGTTCGTTAAAATGATCCTATGGGTTTTGATCTTCATTGATTGAAGAAAAGATGATTTTGGAAAGTTTTCTTTCAAAAGATTTGAGTTGTATAGTTTTGGTGAGAAAACCTAGAATTTTGGGATTTTTTTTAAGAGACTAAAAATCCATAAATGATATTGTTATATTTATTTTGTGTGTCAAAATAAATGGATGTTTGGAAAATTTCTTATTTATATTTATATAAATGATGAATTTCAAGGAATATGAAAACTATTGTTCATTTTGAAAATTATTGTTCAAAACGTTGAAATAGTCTTGAAATGACTAATTGTTGAGGATACTTGAGAAGAGGGAATTGTGTTATTCCTTGGATGATGAATTGGAATAAAAGTATTTATATTCATCTTGTGTTATTGGCATATCAATTGATTGATTACATTAAACTTTGAAAGTTGATTTGAAAACTTACATTGAGAAAAGAATGTTGAGAAACAAGTTTTCATGGAATGATTTTGGGGTAAATACATTGGTAAGTCTTGATAGGTGGTCTAGATGATATTGAATAAGTTGGCTTGAGAGTACGGGGTGAAAGTTCGAAAACCCGCGCGGATAGGTGTCGAGCCTTTCGGTTAATACCGGTAAAAATGACAAATTGGTAGTACTTTTATAGTCTACTTGCAAACATTGACCTACGGATTACCAGAGTCGTATTTACCGCTCTTGAAATGAATTGTTAAGTTTTGAAGAATTGAAATTGCATGACATCATTGAGCATGATGGTTTTCAAAGATGAAGATGTGATTTTGTTTCAAAAGGGCATAGTCTGGCATGTGCATTTCATCTCTTGAGACTTGTATAAAATGTATATACTTTGTTAAGGATTTTCTACGGGCTTTATGCTCACCTTACGGGATTTTTGTGCAGGAAAAGATGTAGTGATGCCGCCTAACTAAAGGCGAGGAAATGTGTATTGAGAGTATG